CTAACACATCAGCAATAGCTTCAGTGAAATACTCGCCACCTCTTGCTGAATGAAATGACTCTATATCACTTAAAAAGATGAAAAAGCGGCGATTATTTAGCGAAAAATGAATCAGCTTACCTTCTGTACGTGCAGCAGCTAAACAGGATGGATCAACGGTGAACTGCAAACGATTTGGGACCGTTGATGTGTCTTCACATTCCATAACTTCGCATTTCACACCTACCTACGGCATATTAAAATAAATCAGAACACAACCAAACTTATCGCAGAGGCAAAGACAATTATTCTATACTAATCCATACGGAGAAAAGGAAAACAAAAAGGAGAAAAGCACTTCGCACAGCTTACCAAAATATCCGTAGTGTCTATTTTTACTCTCGCTGAACCATTTGTTGTATTTAAGGCAGGACTTTCGATCCACATTGGACGGAAGTCGTCCACACTTCAAAAATAGGAATTATACATCCTACTTGGGTAAATATGCAGTATATATTATACTTATAAATATCGAGGATTTCATTTCTCCTTCACAGAAGACGGAAGCTGCTTTTTAAGGTTTCTAATGTAATGAACATTGCAAGTGATAACAAAAAAACCATACAGCTTACCTTCGTCCATCATCACGGCATCCATCAGCAAATCCTTGGGCAATGAAGTGCTTTTCAGCGATACCCAGTAAAACTGGATCCATATTCATACAGAAATGAAGATGGCCAAACTATGCAAACCTTCCAGAATACACGATAAAACCAAGCTTGTAAGACAGGTTGTAAATTCAATTCATTCGAAATTAACAGAATTAGGCGTCGCTAGTGTGAATAGTGCGAATACAGCCATACCCTCTGAACGACGCCAAACAGTGCGAGGCCTTGCCTTGAAAGAGGAAAGTATCAAACGCACGAGCCAGAAGTGGAATGTGCAACATTATTCCCAGTGATAGGAGTGTGCGAGACCTGCTCTCGCTGTAGAAAACTCAAAAGGGTAAGAAAACCAAAGACCTTTATTAGGCGCTTATAGCCTTTTCATTTCATAACGCCCTTTGTAAGACGCGTTATTTTGAGCAAGCTGATCGCAAGGAGCATAACAAACAGGTTAAGTGAAAAAATTAATGTAGTAAATATAAGGTTATAGGCCTAAGCCTCCAAAACGACTCTACTTGGACTGGACAGGGTGGTTTTCGCAAGTCAAAACAAAGGGATAAACATTCTAGTGCTTCTGCAAGTCAACAAAAGAGGTGGGCGCAATGCATCTTGGGCGAGGATCTGTTGGTATCTGCACAGAGGAATTCTGATTAACAGGGACTAAATTTTGGTACAAAGAAGTGCAGTTAAAACTCAGTGGGTCGGTCGATCGGCCTTCATAAAATCTCCATACACTTCTAATAATTTCACAGAATTGCATCGAAATCCCTCAAGAAACTCATAACCCTTTCCAAAAATGCCTTCACCCCTCTTCCTGTCATTCTCAATTCCAAACAATACAGCCTCTTCCTAAAAGGAAGCAATACAGCCCCCAGCCCTCGACGAACCAACATGATCTGAAAGCGTGACGAACACGATACACGTCATTGTTAGGCCGATGTCAGACTTCGCGAATCAAGCGATTCGCTAGCGTACGCACAGGAATGGCTGAATTATTGTGGCGATAGTTAATTGTGGTCTCCCCGGCCTGGAGCGCAAGGCAATATCTTAGCGAACGTCGGAACTTTTTTCTGTGCAAATACGACTTTTCAACCTCTGAACGATCATAACTTTGTTCAAAGTCATCGAAATCGGAAGCTGAACTCAGTAGCTGAACTGACAAAGTACTTCAGAAAATCAAGCTTCTAAAAGTTACCTGAACGTTTTCACAAGAGTCGCACAGTACAAAAATAGGGTGCGAACTCCTTTGAGAGGCCCGCTCCAAATATTTTCTGAACCACGTCTTTTCTTAACACATTGACGACATTGAGACGCGGTAACGCGTCTCACTTTGCGCACCTCGTTGGACATTGAGACGCGTTACCGCGTCTCACCCTTATCATCCCTTTTTCTAGGGCATGCGCAGCTTTTTCCCGAATTGTTTGTCTCTCTTCTATGGATTAGAACATAACATTATTGTGAACGACATAGGTCATTGTTTGTTCAAATATGCTCCAGTTTAGAAGAAGTTTTCCAAGCTCACCGAAACCGGCGGCTTGGTTCATTAATAGTTTTCATGCTATTCTCATGAACACGTCAATAAAAAAGGGTAGTGAAAGTAAATGCAAATCTAAAGAGACAGAAAAATACATGTTTCACTTGGTATAACCACATCAAAAGAGCTTTTGGCATCCACTACAGATAAAATGACTAAAATTTCCTTTTTCATTACCATTACATGTTCTTTAATCGGAACTTCGTCACTATATACTCTATTACCTTCTACGCATTGACTGTTACTGAGATGTTTTTGTACCACTGGTGCTTTAAAAAGTTATCAATAAAAATTCACGGATCCGAGGTGCGGCGGTCGCACTCGCAAAATCGGCCCGGTCCCACACGGCCAAAAAAGCCAAAACGCGCGCGGTCGTCAATGTTAATAACGCTCGATAACTCCCTTTCAAACTCACTTGATTGGGACAACTGACACGGTGTAATAAACTACAGGTTTCTAAGCTCTCTAACGAGCACCCAAGCGTTCCTGAAAGAGTCAGCATTTCAAAAATTAGTCCCGTTGCTACTTTTTATTTTGAGGGGTATTCTTCAAGCCATTTTCTTGAAAACGCGAGTTTCTTTAAGGTTTCACTGCCCGCAAACCCTCCGGAAGAAAGCAAATGGGATCGTTAGGAAGAACACTTCGAGCATGCGCTTGCAATTATTTGGTAAGCTCCTTCAGAAGGACCGTGGTTGTAGATCATTCTTTTTCTCCTATTAAAAGTGTATAATTACAGATTCCCATTGCCAGTCACGCGAGAGAGTACGACGCCTCCCTACAAGCTCAACCAAATACGGCGCGCCGCTTGGTGGCTTGTAGCGGTTTCACCCTCTCTCAGGTCACGCTTTCTGCGCTTGCCTATATGCTCCCCCTCGCTCTCTGACCCTCTAGCAGCTTGCAGAGAGCGCGTCGGCCCGTTCGGAAGAGGGAGGCACCGAATGAGAGTGGCTATGCGGAAACAATCGGGTCGGGGAGCTGGCTCCACTTCTCGAGACCTAGGCTGTTTTTCTCGCTTTTTCTTCATTCTTGCACCACTGATTACCTCTATTTGTCATTTTTGATGAGCTACCGTTTCTTCCTTCGCAAGGTGTGTCTTATGAGGGTGATCAATGTGTGAAAAAAGGTTTGGCGAAACCCCAAGGAAAAAAACATAAAGGTAATGCATGGTTCCTATGGTTGGTTGAAGAAGTAATCTAAATTTCCCACGTTCTTCCCGAACTGGTTTTCAAAGTGCGAACAGAGGCCAACTGAGAGTGTGTCGGTCTTAAAGCGACAAATGGCGACTGCTGACTCGTGAAAAGGATTCGTGTGTAGCGACGCGCGAAAGTCTATCTTTTATCGTGTACGATCAGCATCGTCGACACACTACATCGATTTGTTGGGATAGCAGCGTGGTTTGGTCCAGTTGGTCTCTCTAGTGTTTCGTTTCGAATGTTATTTACTGAACTGTAAAGACGCTCTGTTGTCCTGCTTACCGTCGTTTGCTCACCGTGTTAAAGATGGTCTACGGGCTCTACCGTAACCGGTCCAGTGATACATATTTCCTTCGCAGATCGTTTACCACTCACATGTCTTTCGGTAGTACTATGCTCGGTATTGGCTACAGATTTCGCTCTATTTTGTCGCGCTTGGGCCGACTTCCGGCTTGGTCTTCCCCCGGTCATTAGTTCAAGCTTTACGCTCGGAGGGGATCGAAGAAGTGGCTTGGACTGGCGCAATGTCGATCCAGCAGGGCCAGGCTGTTAACATTGCTCAAGATGCGCGAAAGCGAGCTCCAGTTCAAGGATCAAGCCTTCGAGGAGAAGAAGGAATCTAAGCTACGTATGCAATATCTTATTCTCTCGCGGAATTTCGTCCTCCCATCAGTGCGTGGTCTACACTAGGAGTTATCCTGGTGGCCTTTTTCTAGACTCCCCTTCCCGAAGTACGTCGCGCCGGTAATTGTTCAGCAGCTTTCTTAAAAAGCGGAAAAGATCGTCCAAGAGAGCGTCAGAAATGGGCTCATTCCAAAACAAATCGCCGTGGTGATAGAACCGCCACCTCTCGCGGTATGCCGTTAGCATTTCAGCTGAATGCTAGGTATTCCTCTACGTGACAGCAGGTGACAATAGGGCAGTACCTGCTTGCTGGCTCTGTATGGAAACATAGAGCTTACGGGGTTGAATACCACTTTGTATGTGCCAGCACTCCACTTCAATTACAATTCCTGGTGGTTTGGGTTTGGCTTGAACCCTTCAAAGCCAGCGGGGCCAGTCGAACCCTTTGCTTTCGTTCTCTGAGGTAGGGTTAATCAGCCGGAAGTTAGAGGGAAATAACCTAATAAATTGCCTGAAAATGACTTATTATGTCAAATCGAATGATTATTATGTCAGTATCCCGTCAGGTGATATAGAAGAACCAACTTGTACATCGGGTGGCCTTCGAAAGTCATGGTGTACGAGAAGTCGCATTCAAAGAACATAAATCTCCTGGGAGCAGAATGCATGGCTCATCTTCAGATAAGGGCTGATCAACACCGAATGCATTACCTTTTGCGTAGATTGCAGCGCACTTGCCCGGAAAGCGAGAGGTGCGGGTTCTAGTCCCGCCTGGGGCGAAAGTTTTGTTCACAACCCAGCATTCTTGTGAAACATTCGCAAGGCGAACTGCGGCCAAAAACAGCAGTTAACAAACAAAAACTTTCTTTTCAATAATTTACCTGCGAAGTCGGAGGTAGGTATTGGCATCTGGTAGCCCTGACCAGTCAGCGTTCCTTCCTCGTTGAGTTGGTTGCCGACTCGTGTACAAAACGTTCACTCGTACATTGGATGGCCTCGGATGTGGTTGTTTAGGCCAACTTCAATAGCGTATCCCAATGCGGCATGATGATTAAGAAACCATTAATGGTCCTATTAGGTAAAAAAAGGATAAAGCATTTGCCGTTGATCAATCCCTTTTTGGGATGCGGCACGCATTCTACTTCCATTTGTACATTCGTAGTGGCGTTTGAATGGCCTATACAATGACTTGCGGAGGCCAGC